ATCATCATCATCATCATCATCATCATCATCATCATCATCATCATCATCATATGAAGTTGCACAGATGCAGGTGATTGATCTGATCGTTAAGGGTTAGCATCACCAAGTGCATAAATGCAGGGTCAACACCTGCTGTAGCACATCACATCTACATAGATACATGTGGTGTGATGCAGGTATTGAGACACAGATGTGCGGAGGTGTTTGTGACACAGGTGTTGAGACACCTACAAGATTCGTCCACGCAACTGCAAACTCGAAATCTTCATATCTATTTTTAAGGCGGCGGGTTGGCCGGCAGCTTCTGGGCGCCAGCTTGCATAAAACACATGGTCTCTCTGAAATGGAATCTCGGCAGCTTCAAGATTCTGTTGGCCTCTTATCCAGACCGGGCACAAGCTTCTTCTTGGGAAGGTAAAATTTGAAGCCTTCTGTCAAGCGCTCAACATCTGAAGCCTGCAACGCCACTTGATTCATCACGGACCCAAAGCGAGAAACACATATGCATCATATGCGTGTGTGTGTGTCACCCTTGGAGTCATAGGGATGCTTTTGCATTTGTTTTACCGCAGGGGGTCCAGGCAGTTGTGAGTTGTCCCTGGACCAACGAAGACGGACTCACAACTGGTGAAGCGAGAGGGGACGCCTTCTTGTGTACCTGCAATTTTCCACTTTCCGTATGGCGAGAGGCTAAGCCAAGAACCTCACGAATCGGTTTTGTTCAGAGCTTCGATTCACTTTCTGCAGATGTGCACGTGCCGCCGTCACCTCGCCCTGTTCGTCGTCTCGTGGCCTTTAACTACAGGAACTCTGGTCCCCTTCACCTGGTTTTTCAGGATTTGGGTCTCTTAGGCTGGCGTGTGGCACCGCATTCAGTTCCGTACACAATATCTCAAGTGTGTTTGGCTTCATGCCAACCCGGGATGAGCCCGCAGAGTGCCTCCCGTGGACCCGTCGAACGGGTGTACGTCCATGTTCCCCCGGCTTTGGGAACGCAGATGTCCACAGCGGACAGTAGATGGCTAATGCCGTACGTCTGATGATTTATGTCTCATTTTTGGAATTCCAAGCTGGCTCATGCCTTTACGTGACCGCAGCGGTCAAAGGTGGCAGCCTTCGGGCAAGCCGTACGTGGTCGCAGCGACCAAAGTCTGTTCAAGGCTCATTGGAGTCTGTTGGACACTTAGGTGCACATACATCGTACACACTTCAACGAGGCAGGTCTTCCTAGGTTGTTGTAATGAGGTTTGGTTTCATCGGTTCCCGTCCCCTCCATTTGGTTCCCCTTTCACCTTTCCCCTTCACACACACTTCTTTTCCTCTTTCTTTTCATGTCTTCCCTTGCTTCATGTCCGTTCATCTCACTCCTTTCGTTCTTTTGCGCGTACAATGGTCCGGGCCTTAGTGTGTACCCGCACATCTACTTTCAACTAAGGTGTTAGGTCGCCCAGGTCTCGACAATGAGGTGGGCTCATCGGTTGTCCCTGTGCACTTGGTTTCCCTTTCATTGCAACCACACACACTTTTGTCCTGTCTGTCTTCCTTTTCATGTCTTCATCCTTTTGTCCTTTCTGCGCGCACATTTGCACATTCGCCCTAGCCTTAATTTTGCCTCCCCTCGGGGAGGCGTGTGTGTGTCACCCTTGGAGTCATAGGGATGCTTTTGCATTTGTTTTACCGCAGGGGGTCCAGGCAGTTGTGAGTTGTCCCTGGACCAACGAAGACGGACTCACAACTGGTGAAGCGAGAAGGGACGCCTTCTTGTGTACCTTCAATATTCCACTTTCCGTATGGCGAGAGGCTAAGCCAAGAACCTCACGAATCGGTTTTGTTCAGAGCTTCGATTCACTTTCTGCAGATGTGCACGTGCCGCCGTCACCTCGCCCTGTTCGTCGTCTCGTGGCCTTTAACTACACGAACTCTGGTCCCCTTCACCTGGTTTTTCAGGATTTGGGTCTCTTAGGCTGGCGTGTGGCACCGCATTCAGTTCCGTACACAATATCTCAAGTGTGTGTGTGTGTGTGTGTGGAACCAGAAAAGTTCATGCAGACGTTCCCACAAGCCTAAAACCTAGCCGTTAGACTCTAGACGTATTGCTGGACTCAACAAGTGAGACTAGTAACAATAGCCGTTAAACGTTCCAATTCCTCTCTGAAGGAGTATAAGCGGTTGCATCTTGTATGACATGAGGTTCAAGATCGCTGATTGTGTGGTTGTGCCCAGCAGATATGAACCTTTTGGTCTCACGGTGTGTGAGGGATGGGCGGCTGGAAAAGTGGTGGTTGTGTCTCGGCGAGAATTTGTCGCGGAACTCACCAAAACGGACGAAGAACGTTTTGTGTCTTTGCGGAAATTGTATTTTGGAAGACATTGTAAGAAGCTACGAACGGGGCTCTTGGCATCGCTACGAACGGAGCTAGGGACGCAACTAGGCAGGAACAAAGGGCATCGCTACGAACGGAGCAAAGGGCCACGCTACGAACGGGGCTCCTGGCCATCGCTGGTAGGAACCATGTTTGCTATTGGTAGCTTCTTGTTACTACTAGCGAGGCACTTGTTACTACTAGTAAGGCACTTGTTACTAGAAGCGATGCACTTGTTTCTAATAGCGTGGCACTTGTTACTACTAGTAAGGCACCTGTTCGTAGGCCGTTGGCTTCTCTTGAGGCTTCTGACCAAGTGGGCTGCCCAGTGAGCCACGGTGAGGACGGTTGGGTGGTGTCCGCCACGCCTGAGGGCGTCGCCTGGGGCGTGTCAGAGGTCTTTCGTGACTGGGACAGGGCCAGAGAGATGGGTTCCAAAGGCCGAGTGAAAGCAGCTTTCTCCTTGTCGTGGGATACTGTGGCACAACTCACAGAGAGGGCCTACCAGGAATTCTAAGAGGGCCTAAGGCGGACTTCCGGCATATCACTTTTCTTTTTGATTGCAGTCTTTTGAACTCTTGGGCAATCTTCAACTGTTTCCGTTTGTTTCAACGCTCTCGCAGCGAAATAGTTGCGGCAGAGTCTCCAATCCTGCGGCTCGTGCTCGAAAAGCACGGGACAGTGCAACCGGATGAAAGATGAAAGACAAGAAAAAGGGTGCAACCTGTGCACCGGCATGAGTAAGGTGAACAGGGAAGAACTGCATCATTTCAGCATAAGTTGACCACATGCCCCCACCATTGCCCAGCTCTCCGACCACCATCCTATGGCCAGATCGAAACTACAGGGGATGTTTGACAACTGGACTTTGTTGAGTACTTGTTAGATGAAGTTGGGTGTCTGAAGCCTCCTTCCACCTGCAATGAGCTCAATCACCAATGCAAACATGGCTGTTGTGATGAAAATGTCGGTGCTAGCAAACAACCTCAGAAGGCTTGACCTGTGAAACAGCCTCTGAAAGAGCCTCTCAGACCTATCGAACAAACAGCAAACTTGAGGCTTTCGGAGTGTAAAGGACTCAGCTGGACACCCAAGTGCCAAACACAGACAAACACGCTCATTTCTCTGACTCATGGGTCCAGGCGCGTCGAATGCTCTCCGACCTATTAGCGATGGCCTCCAACCGACTAGCGATAGCCTCCAGCCTACTAGCGATGGCCTCCAAGCTACTAGCGATGGCCTCCAACCTACTAGCGATGGCCTCCAAGCTACGAGCGATGGCCTCCAAGCTAC